TTGGATCAACTGAAGACGTTTTAAAGAAGTATTTATACTGTATATATATATACTACTACTACTAGTAGTACTACTATTACTATTCTGTGGTCTTTCATTCCTTGCGGGGCTTCAGGGTCCGGATCCCCCACGATAAACAAGGGACAACAGGAAACCTTCTGACTTTGATCTTGTCTTTTTATTGTTTACTGTTTTGTTTATTTGAATGGGGTCATGGGTTTTCTCTTGTGGCTGCTCTCTTCTTCGGGCGTAGTCCCACTGAGTGAAAACTCATTAAAGACTTGATGATTTTTTAATGCCGGTTGTCCTTCCTGTTTTGTCCTGGGCTCGGATCTGCAGCCTCGGGAATATGAGACCACGGCACTGACCACCAAGCTCCCGCAGCCACCGTTTTATTAAAGCTCTTCATAATCTTCCACAGATGCACAGTGTGGACTCACACAGTCTGCTAGAGTTCAGAGTTAAACGTTCTCAGTGGGGCTGGCACAAAATGTTTAGTCATTTTAAACGTTTGCTTCGGTATTTTATGTATCCGTTAATGTTTCTGGGGACAGGAGCAGAGACGCTCGTAGCTCTGGCTGAAGTTGAAGATGAAGACAACTGTTGGTTTGTGTGCTTGTCCTCCTGGTTCAGGGCTCGGAGACTCCTTGGCGTCGGGTCGGCCTCCTGCTTGAATTCGGGGAGTGGTTGTTCTGTCAGGACTTCCACAGAGCAGACGCCCAGCAGCAGGTCCGGTGGGCCATCGAGCTCCTCCTGCACCAGGGTTCTGTAGAACCAACGGAACCAGGTGGGACTCATCAAACCTTCTTTTACTGTGACGGGACTGTGGGGATGGACTCTTGAACGACCGTATTGGATTTTAGGATGTTTGAGTTCAAAGTATTGATCAGAAATATTAATCTTTCAAAAACACATCTTTAGATTTAAGAGTCAAAAAGTGACATTAGATCTAAAAAGCCAATTAAAAACATCAGCAGATACTTTTTATACTTTGAATTCTGTCAGTACTTATTGCCCAGCTAACACGTTGGCACGGGATTGTGTATTTTCCTGTGTTTGTCTGTCTGTTAGCAAAATTTCTCATGAATCAGTGGACTGATTTTAATGAGACGCTCCAAAAGTAATGAA